TCCTCCCTCACACAGCTGGAGCAGCCTCCTGCACCCCACCTCCTGCCCAAACCTGCACTTACATGCCTATCCCACTCACTTGCAGCCCTGCCCCACACATTGAACCCCTCCTTTATTCTCTACCCCAGAGTCTAGGGAGCCCACAAAATCCACTAACCCTGAAACTCCAGAAGAATTAATCTGGCCTGAGGCCTCGAACCTCAGTCCTCTCCGCCCTCCCCCCCTCTCTGCCCCAGAGCTGGAGCACGAGTGAAGTGAGATGTTTCAGTTGAGGGCCACATCATTGAGGGCTGGGGAGTTCTGGAGGGGCTTTTTTTCCCTCTTCTCATTTGTGTGGTCCCCAACTGATTTTTCTAGGAGTCAGTGGCCTCAGACCCCAAAAAAGACCCACCTCTGCCATTAATAAAGACAACGTTGAAACCTTTTTGTGTTGGACATAATATTTTACTTTATTTAAAAATGAAGCCTGGCCAACAAGTGCCTAACCAGGGCCCAGCCCACAACAGGCCGCAATGTCCTGTCCCAGCCCCGATCCTGGGGCAGGTCCCATGGTCCAGTCCCTATCTGGCTACAGAAAGGGCTGGTGGCAGCCCCCTTCCTTCTATGGCATGGGTAGGATGAGGGGCCACAATCCAGCGGTAGCGGAGGAAAGGGGCCGGTGAGTGTAGCAAGCAGGGGGCACAGCCCCCTAGTAGACTCTTATCAGCAAGGCACTTGGAGTCATTCACTGATTATCTTTACCCCAGTCCTATTGTGAAGGAAAACAGCAACATCTCCACAATCAATCTCTTCATTTCCATCATAACTTCCAAAACCATGTCTTCATGACCTCCCACCTTAGCTGTGTGACCTTCCTCCTTTCTCTGGCTTTCCTGTCACCTGCCTCAGTAACTCTTCCAGGGCATGCAAATTCAACAATGCTAAATTGATGTTTCTCTCAAGTTCTCACCATTCCACATTCAATTTTTATAAGCCCACTTCATTCATTCCACATCATTGTTAAAGTTTGTTGTCCCCACTTTCAAAGCTCCCCACAGTTTTCTTTTCCTCTCCTCCTTGGTATTAGTGGTCTCCTATCTGTTTAAAATCTGTGATCTGTGCCACTTTCACCTTAATACACACTGTTCCCTTTGTCCACAACTACCACGGTTCTTCCATACTGCTCCATATACCTGTAATGTCCTTCTTGATCTATATTCCTGACAATCTTCAGCATTCTTTAAATGCATCCTCAAAATTTAATATGTTTCCATAAATCTTTAAATAACAATGCACTATTTCCATATGAGGATGTGTCACGCAAAGTTTTCTCCCCTTCATTTTTCTGTATGTTGATTTTTTAGACCTCAATCCTGCAACTTGCCTTGTACAGTCAGAGGCCATCTAAAGTCAACGGAGCTGCATGTAGGATCAAAGGTTTAGGATTACATGAATGCTTATGTTTATTTATTTA